ATTAGAATTAAAACTTGATAACCATGTATGAATGCATATTAGTCATTTTAACTGAACTTAGGACTGGTGCTGGTGCTTTTTTTGGTCATTCAGTGTTTCTGTAAACGAAAACTAACAAAAAATACTGATAGGATAATAATGATACGAATTCTACCAATAAGAACAATATAAAACGCACTAAGGATTAATGAGCTGCTGGATTCATGAATATTAATAAGGTTGTGTGCGTTCGCTCGAACTGATTTCCTGAAATCAAAACAGGGACGATAATAAGTGAGCGCCAGCCAATGAGGTTGCCGTTTGCGCATTAGTCCCGGCCACTACCGGAGAAAGCGGCATTTCTTAAAAGCTGAAGAACTCCGAACTCTGAAGCGCTCAGTCAGAGTGTTCGGCGAGTAAAAATATATCTGTGCTAAACTTATACTTAGCCACCAACTCTCACGCTGGCGAGTAAAATCTGAGAATTTTTTGTCAGTGGCTAATATTAGACATCATTTAGTCGCCCAGAGTGAAGATTTAGATCAAATAGAATTGGGATTGGGCCTTAGTCGCATATGCTAGTGATTTACTCGCAATGTAGAGGGTTGTTACCTGTTCAATTTATTTGCCCTACCTCTGACTCATATGCATGCAATATTTTATATGCACCGCTTATTTGTTAACTTTTTAATTAGAATATAAGCCGCGTACCTCATTTGATACTAAGGAGGAAGAGTTGTGGCCTCATTTGTATTGATAAAAATATCAACGCAAACCAATGTTGGCTGCAAAAGAAATTAAACTATCACAAAATATTTTGCTAACATCATCAGCATTATATACCACAGAGTTTCCATTTTTAAAGTTGTACCTATTGGTTTTAAAGGCATCTGTGTTCCATAACAGCAGTAACACGTCGGATTCTTCGTGGAATGGTCGGTAGCTTTACCATTTGTCAAAATGCTTTTGTTATTACAGACATTTTATGTTTGAAGCTCAAGAAGCATTTGCTGTAATATGCACTTTTATGAGACTCATTAAGAATATTGAGCTCTTGTTGAAATGTTAAGAAATACCCCTGCACACTTTACAAGAATCCATTGTGTCTTTTAACAGTGCAAAATGTCCTGAGTAATGACCTCTTTGACTTCTGAGTCAGCCTTGTGACCTCCTCTCATGCAGTGACATCATGTCTCTTGTTAACAGTTGCAAAACTGCATGCTCTGGGTGCATGGACCTTGCTACTGACATTTGTCTTAAAAGATGACATTGATATGATACTGTCCAATCACTGCTTTTGGTTGTGAGAGAGTTGCATTAGATTGACCTGTCAAGTGGTGTGGGGTATGTCTGCATTTTGATTTTCACTGAATTATTTCGGTGAGTGTTAGTTGGTTTTAAGTCTGAAATTCTTTATTCCCTCATATTTTCAAGACCTCAATCAATAAACTTGACCCCATGAATTCTCAAAGCAAACTGAATGCTTTAAAGCCTGTTGTGATATTTCTGTCTGTTAGATTGTGCATTTGCTCACTCATTTGTCTCTTTTAACACAATTGAATCAATGGAACTCGTTTTTGTTAAATAAAATTTGAGTGAATATCATTCATGGACAGTAGTCATATAATGTACATTCTAACATGTCTCTTGAATATAGAACAACCAGACTTTCTTCATTGGCCTTAGATGAATGATTCTGCTAACTAACTAAAATCGAACTGCTGCAAATAACAGCATGCTTTTTTGATGTTAATTTTATTTTTGTTGGCAACTTTTTTTAATTGTATATTAAATGTGCTGGATTTATTGCACAATATAGGATAAAACAAATCAATGTATTGTAATTAAAAGTTCTAAAATGAAAAGCAGTGATGTGTAAATGTTTTTAATCTTTTAAAATGTTTTTGTAAATATTAAGTCAAAAGCTTCCATGGATTTATTGTAATTTTGTGTTTGTTTAGAATTCACTATACATACATAGGCTATATGTGTGTTGAGAGATTCAAGCTTGGAAATTAGAAATTTAATAAGATTTCTTAAACATGCAGTCTAATTATTATTTTTTTGGTTAAAAATGATCTAAAATCAATTATTGAGCAAGTAAATAACCAATCGGTGTTCAAAACTATCTCCTTAACTTAGCCCGATAACGGTAAGCTTGTAATAATGTTTTCTAATTTCAGTGGTTCAGGTCAGTTTCCGTGGGAAAAACGGGTTTGCCGCCGTTCCTCTTTGCATCATTGCGTCACGTCTGAAAGAAGGACATAAAGAAGCAGTCCCGGCTAATGTCGGTGCCGATGGCCTCGTGGGGCGTTGCGCTTCGGGCGTCCCGAGTTCGAGTCCTGGCTCGCGGACTTTTCCCGATCCCACCCCCATCTCTCTCACCCACTTCGCTTCCTGTCGACCTACTGTCCTTTCTAAATTAAAAGGCATAAAATGCCAAAAATAAATCTGAAATAATTAAACTTATTAAACGGTGCATGATGGTAATGAAACACATGTAAGTGACTGAAATTAGATTATATTCCAGTTTTAAATGAGCATCTGATTACAGTAAGATTAGAATGAATTTATAAAAGAGTTTTATTTAAAAGAGAACGAATTCTAATGAACATAAATTGCTTTTGGAGGTTAAAAGAACAATTTTTAGATGAAATTCGAATAGTATGACAATTAGAGATTAGACTGTACAGAAATTAAGTTACAGATAACGCTAATGCACACTAAATAGTAATCATGCAATGTTGATGTTGTTAACATGAACAATTTGAAAACAAAGTATAACAAATAATTTGCAGGGTTTGACATAATCCGAGCTAACTTCGCGACTATTAGATTTAATTGCCACTGGTAGCGCAATTTATTGTAGATCTTTTTTTTTGGGGGGGGGTTCGGTTGATCAGAACAAAACTGGCAGACATGTTACTTATTTGTTGATATGACACTTTCTGGTGAAACTTCTTATTTTTGGGCATACTTCCAAGATGTAGCATCTGTAATTCTGAAGTACAGAATATCCACACTGGTGCGACTGACAACTAACATTAGTCAACTTTACCTAAAAATGCAACCTCGCTGTCTCTAGGTCACTGTAGAAACGTTGCTTAATTGCTTCAGCCAATGGTGTGAGCTCAGGGCGGGGCTACCTGTTTCCCTGACAAATAGTAGATGGGGGCATGTTCAAAGAAACCTGTGCGAAAACAGTCACTATTTTTGCAATTCCATTTATTGACAGTAGGGGTGGATAAATTACACACGCAATTTAATGCAATTTCTACAAATTAAAAATACAGAGGAAAAACGGATAAATATAAAAAAATAAAATTAGCAAATGTTAAAAACTTAACTATTTAATATAATTAAGTTCTCATAGACTTAAATATGAAGAATATATGAAAAGTTTTACATTTCGCTAAGCAGTCTTCCTGTGTCTGATGTACAGTTTTTTCCCCCCTCCCTTGAGTATCGCCGACGAACCTGCGTAAAAACATCACTGAGCCTGCTCTGCGCTGGGATCTTGTCGGGGTCTTCGGTACCTCCACCCCGAAACATGGATAATCCATTCTGACCGCTAGACCAGAGCGGCCGTGTGCGGAGATCGCTCGTTCGGGGCTACGCCCACACTGAGCTCCTGATCCTAGGGCAGGCAGGCAGAGTGTAAAATGGCGCACAGCTGTCGGTGGCGGTTCCCTGCTCGGCCCGGAGGGAGCAGCAGCTCGGGCACCGGGAGGAAAGCGGGCCGAATTCGAGTCAATGCTTCCCTCCGAAACAGCGCGGGCACTAATCCGAACGCGAACGGGCTCGGGCCCGGTTTCGACGATGCGTTGCAAGTGTCCGCTGCCATCGGCAGCAACCTGCAGAAATTTCGGGATGTTTTGGGGGAGTCGAGCGGCTCCAGCAGCGGGGAGGTAAGCGGGACCCTAGCTAAAGCGTTAGCCTCATTCATGATCAATGCAGGAATTAGAAATAACTCCGCGGCTGTGTAGCAGCTCTAAGTTGCTCAGTGAGGAGAGTGAGTGAGTGAGTGTTCTAGTTATTTTGCTGCGCAGCAGACACATGCCTCAATCCATGTGCTGTTTTTCTCACTATGGGACTACTGACAGGCTAAACTGCTAGCTAGCTCACATCAAAACATGTACCTATTCCTAACTAACGGCTGATGTTGCTGTGCTTCTGCGGTCTGATGTCTATGTTGAGGCGTTCTAGCATCATATTTCGGGACCCCGAGGAGTTTAGTGCCATTTTTTGACAGGATGGAGATGTGAAGCTAGATAACTGATGGCTGCTTTGGGTTGAACTTGCTTCAATTTGATTCGGAGTCTCGTGCGTTTCATGTGACACCGCTGTTTGACTTTAAACACTATGAAAGCACTTTTTCAGCTAAAAAGCGCAGAAAATGCCCTGCTTAATGCACAGCTTGTCAAAAATGAGGTCCAAAAGAGTTCAAAGATAGATAAAGGATGAAGTTGAAAGATATCTAGCACCTTTCAGTTGTTCTAATTATTTTAAATTGCATTTTTCACCCATAAGAGATTAAATGATACCTTTTGTTAACTCGCTGTGTTTCTTTCACCTAAAGACAACTTGGTTCAAAAGCCTGGTGGTGTATAATGGAACTTTACACTCTCGTAGAGAAATAAACAGTTTAGAGTGTTTCAGTAAGCATAAACGAGCAGATTTTAGCAGGACTGAACACCTGGTGCCACGCAGAGTGCATCTATCCCAGCTGTAGTCTGTTTGGATTCATTTTAAAGTATTGACCTAACATTATATGAAAGCGTAGATTGAGTTTAGAA